AATAATGCACGAAAAACCGTTTCGGCGGACACTTTTGATGGGTACTGTATTTAACGACATCCCCGTCCCGCAGCTGGCCTAAAAAGATGATGAAGGGCTACAGTAGGGAGCATGAGGCAATATTGCGGCGAAGGTCGCCTCGTCAAACGTTTGCGTGGATGAGAACAGTTTCTGAACTACTTGATCACGAAGCGCTACCAATCTGGTTTGCATTACAAGTTGTCTGCTGGGACTTGTTCTGGGCATTTATTGGATGAGGCCTGCAAGGGCTTTACGGTGCGATCAAGCATACAACACTTCCTCGTCTGCAGTACCTAGGTAGTTCAGCCGGCGATGGTTGGTGTTCTTGTTAACAATAAGGGTGCTATTCTACAGCGCTTGGTGCTGGTCGGCAGTATTATGCCTGGCTGATTGTCAACAAAACTGATGGCAGGATTCCTTATAACGCATATCTGCCCACCAGAAGCCAATCTATTCCTTCGCAGCACAGCTTAGCCACTTCGAAAGGCGTCATCGCACCTTAAGCTCACCTTTCAGAGGCACTAGTATTTTCGCCCTTTTTTCTGACCATTTTCGACTTTTTTCTTTGAAGAAGGTCGATAATGCCGTATTCTCGCTCTGCTGATCCGTAGGAATCACTCCTCATCGTCTTCTTTGTAGTATTACTAAGTTTCCTACTTGAGTACAGCATTTACTCACTCATTTTACTTCTTACTTTCTCTTTGGAGTAATTGTCGCACCATTACCACTTCCTTTGGGAATCGTGCGTTTGAGACGTATCAATAAATAAACATAAACAAATAAGTGGATGTCTGAGGAAGTCACTAAAATGCCAAACAAAATGTCCACTAAGGCTGTTTCAGGTCGAATCTAGCCAAAGTGAAATTCTTGATACAGGCAGCCAGATCTATACATTTTTTGTTAAAAATGTTAAATGTGTAGTCCGATTTCAGAGATATTCATGATTTATACAGCAATATTTGAACACGAGGCGTGCTAAAGCAACCGGAAATTTGTAAGCACTTGAGAGATTGTAGGCAATGAGAGCGAAGGATGAGGCGAGCAATGCACGAAAATTCGGACAGATCACATTCAGAACTGGAGAGCTGAAACCCGACGGGGGTTTCAGATCTGAGTTTTTGGATTCGCTATGTAGATGATCAACTCGATAGGTGATAATCCAGTGAACCACAAGTCTGAATATGACTGGAGAGGTTAGAGAACAACGGATTCACTATGCATCGTAGTGGAGTTGTGCACTAAAATTTGGCCATTCACACGGTACTGATAATTGAGTCATTACGGCCGTAGTCTCCTGCTGAATGTACACTGATATGCGTCTCTTTCCAACCACGTCGTGAACCCTGAAAAAACGTAATTAACAATAAGAACTAAAAGGATAGGTAACAATTAATGGAAGTGAGGGCGCTATCGCAACATATGGGGGCATTGTGGTGGCACGCATGCGATATCGTGTCAAGCATCTCTTTTCTGTTGAAAACGGGACTAAGCCTAAGACTGGGAAAGGTAAACTCCAGGAGACGCAAGCGGTTTTTATTTCCACCAAAGTTCCTGCCCACTTCCAGGCCTAGTCCAGGAGGATGCCCCGTATCTTGCGATTGCGCCGAAGCGAGTATCACAGTTTGGCCGGTTACATAGGGTTAATGTAACTAGAAGGTAGAACGCTAGGTATCCAAGCTGACAACTAGTGAGTTCTCATACGGAAAAACTCGCATTCGTAAAGATTAAATAGAGTTCTTCAATTAAGAAAGAAAAAACCTTTATAAACGAAATAATTAAAATGGTTCGTTTCGCTCCTTCCTCAGACGAACCTTATTATTTCGTCAATCCCCGGAGCTCATCAGTGAGTTGGGATTGGCGAAATAAAGACACAGGGGAAAGACGAATAAAAGAGACGAAAGACGGGTAGTTTAACGCCGATTTTTCGGAGCAAAGACTGGTCACGATGGCTGGATTGTGGTGCGGTTTGATGACGTCATTGAACACCATTGGTAAAAGGTGGTCGAAGAGAGGTCCCAACAACACCACCAGTGCGCGTGAAGGGTGCAGTCCACCAATGACCCTCAATGACGTCATCAAAACCGCACCGCCCTCCAGCCGTCGTGATCGCTGCCTTTAGCGTCTGCGCGGTAACACTTGCAACAGAGAGGAAGAGTACGGTATGCTATCGAAGATATCAGCTATCCGAAAATTTCCGTAGTCCCAAACCAAAGGGTCAGTCAAGCATTATTCTACGATTTTTTTTGCTCGTTTTCCTTATCTCAGGTACTGATACTGTCAATCTGGGGAATCTGCCTGCGCGATCCTCTGCTGCCCAACGCGCGCCATACACTTTGTGCTGGCGTTTCTCTGACTTGAACGCTACCTAGCTTGTAATCAGGTCTGTCTTACTCACAGAAAAGAATTATAAACTCATGGAATGAGCCTCTGACTGGCTGCAGATCATTTTTCAGTAGTCATGGATCGAATTGAATAGAAAATCAAAGGTACACTCCACGATGGAATCTGTTGGCTCGCACCTTTTGGTGGTATAAATAGAGTTGTTCTGAAGGCAGTGTACCATTGCTCGAATGTGCGTGATAAGGGCGCTAGAGCATTTCCGTAGCGACTTCGACCGCTCCCATTTCTTCTCGTCCGCAACACGAGCGTGTCTGCGTCCTCTCATTCGTTGTGCTATCTCGTCCGCCATTTTTCCTCCACGCTCAGTGTTTCGCTGCCTTTACACGATCGAATGACAGAAATGAGAGAGCTCTTAGTTTTTTTCAACGGATTCCTTCAACTTGTTTTCAATGGTTTCCCAGTTCACATCTTTGCTTTCACGATCGCGTGCAGAAACCGCATAAAATTTCGATCGTGGGTGGGAAGGGTAGGGGGGGTGCCTCTAATCGACATCCATGCGTGATCTGCGAGTATTGCTACCTCCCATCCCTTTATTAAAAGAATTTGTTGATCAGCCTGTGAGCTTTATTAGAAGAATTCTCAGGGGTTCGCGCAAAAGAAACACGAGCTGCAATTCCTCTAGAGGTAGAGTGAGCTAACAAGAGTAGTATCGAATTACACAATGGCGGTTTCAATCACCAAGAGAGGATAATTTCGCGGCTTCCAAAGGAAACAATACATCCGACAAGCATTCTGTTTTGTTTTCTTAAGACAGCTCTTTATCCCGTGGAATTGCGTTTACACAATAAGTGGTTTGGGAAACATGCGAGACATTCAAGAACTCGCTACGCAATTGGTATTCATGCACCTCCCCTAGAGCCCCGCCCACAAAGCAGAATGCATACGAGATGTTTTACTCACTCTGACACCCATACACATATACTTGGTATATAGGCAAAAACATGCGCCGGAGCCACACTCGCAGACCCCCCGGCGACCCTTCACAAACCACCTGCCAGCATAAACCTGAGTTGGTTTGTTCGTTTAGCAGCAACACGGTAAAGGGGGTTCTTCCTTATTTTTGGACGATTTTCAAAGGTTGCTGCGGAATTTTCTTGATCAAAATGAATCTGGGTTGCTCTTGACACATTTGAAGATATGCCTCTGCGGCTTAATCATGCAATTTATTAAAAATCAACTCTTGGGATTCGACGGAAACTCATGGGATCGAGGAAAGCAGCATGAAAGCATGCAAAGAACGGCCATAACAAATATGCCTTTCGTCGCTATGGAATGCAGACGAAAAGCATATCATCATCAACAATCACCTAGCTATGCTTACGAAATCATTCGCAAATTCAGGCTTCAAACGAGAAATGTCTCCAAAATTGTCAAATTCCCAAATGGAATGGTTTTCATGGCCTTCTGCTAAGATGGCACAAACCAAAATAAGATCGCAGCTCAATCCGTAGCGGAATTTATGAATCATGTTGAAAAAATTGGGCTGTGTCAGAAAATCAATAAAGAATCGTGTAAATCACGATGTCGCTAGAGTTGGTAAAGTGACAACCAACGTCGTTGACCACTGACGCAACACGATTCAGGTTGCAGGTTTTGGGTCGAATTTCACCCAAGTTCAACCAAGCCCTCCATTCTCCCGGATCAATTTTGTAATACTGGATTCACATGGGAGGATAAAAAAGTGAGTTGTACCTAGGTAGAACCATAATTCATAGGGCAAATCGCAATCAAACACTGCTACGAGCCTGGGCCCAAGTAAAATGTTTGGCGCATCTCGAGTTAAGTTGATCACCGCCCTTTTTTAATTATGAATCAAATTTCAAAGGGGTGATTGAAATGGTCAAAAAAGAATTGGCTTCTGAATAAGAAATTGCTACTTTCAGCAGCCTTAGACATTGCATTACGGAGGAATAGGGAACGCTTCCATAATCAACAAACGGAACGAAAGGAAAGTTTTACATGAACGAAAGCCGAATAGATTTGATATTGAGCACTGTTTAAAGGAAGTGAGCATGATCGTTGAAGGGCGGAGCGGTTTCGATGACGTCATTAGAGGACCTTTGGAGGAGCGGCCCCCAGGGCGCTTGGGTTTGTACGGGACCCCTCCACCATTGGCGCTCATCAACCTCATAAAAAACGCACAACCTCCCAGTGACGCGACCACTTCCTCTACCATAAAAGCAGACACATCAAGGCTGCATCGGTAATGAGGACCACAAAGGAACTCAAAAGGACTAAAAGGACTTACGGTGATGATGAGAACTCCGTTGTGATCGAGATGGCTTCTGATTGAGTCCAAATGGATATCGGAAGGGATACAGTATTTTCTGGCAAATGAACGTTTTAACGTCTGACCACCGCTGCCAACTTCTATTCGTTCACCGCTCACACATAGCATGTCGTCCGTCAATACCACCTGAAAAATTTGGCTCTTGTGGGTTAAGCACCGTCCTTTCACATCGAAATGACCCAAAAAGGGCTTGTGAGCCTCTGCTTCCATTCGAAAACCAGAATACAAGAGGAACGTTCAGTTTTGCTCCTGGAGCCAGCCGACTGGAGCTGCGCGAGCTCGGGTTTAGGCTTAGCTTCGGCTTATGCTTACGCACTGGCTTATGCTTGAAACCTATGATTGAGCCTAGGCCTAGCCGTGAGCTCGCTCCAAGTAAACGACGGCTGTCTCAATTTTGGCTGACCTGACCATAAGGAAGGAGAACTGCAATGCATCCCGAATGCAAGGGACCTCAAATTCGAAGCCGAGAAAGTGTTGATTATGCGAAAGCAGGGTAGACCATCCGAGGGGCAAGAAGAGGGCCACGTTTCGTGGAGACCATTGTGAATTTTCAGAA